AATACAACGCGAGTAACTCGCGAGCTATCCTTATATGTTCACAGGCAACAGTTTCAGGGAAACCACCGACTAAAGACCTACAGGCGGCATACCGGTTCATTAGCCCCAGTCAAGATCTCAGTCATGTTAGGTGACATCTTTCTTTCCGGGGCCCCAATGCTACCACAGAAGTCTGGAAGCAGTCGCGATTGGGCAGTCCGATTTGTATTTTACCTTCGAGCTTCAACATATGTTTGGCATGCCTAAGCGCGCCCTAGTCACGTAATTATAGAACAGATGATTCCGGACCCCGGCGCCGCCCTCATCCTAATAGCAACATCGCACCGCACAACCGGGTGGACCACCTGACGTATCTTGGCCCTTCTCAGGCGTCTGTACGGCCCGAAACTGTGCGAGCTTAACCCTGACTTCACAGACGATATTTAGCTATGTGACAAGGTCGTTGCTAAGCTCGCTAAGCTCGTTCCCTGGCTTCCCACCCCTCAAAGTTACCGAGTCCACAAACGACTCTTGTCCGCGATTCGGCGCTGGCATTCTCACGCGAGAGGAAACTTCGATCAGTCGCATATTGGCTCCGATGGTAACGGGAATCCGGTCCCTACTAGGGCTCGCAGCTAATGCGTTCTCGGCAGCGGTACTGCTGAAAGCGGACCACCGGGACGAAGAAGCAATCGCTGCCACTGACCTTGGGCTAATTTGGGCGTAAGTAGCGAATGAGTCATTGTCACTTTGCATATTTCATCCGCTCGCAAATGTCGTTCTACTGAGGCGTTACAAATACTATGCCGTCATCCGTGCTGTGCTCTTCCTATATATTGCGACACGTGGAGTTACATGATCGCTTATATACAAGTGTTGGCAACGCTTTAAATGCCGCTGGATGGTATGTTTATATGGGAGAGGTACTCGGAAGCCTGCTTCTATCTTCTATCTACGTCGAGTCACTCTGACTACATGAGCAAGTTAGCATAATCCGCCATTCGTAGCGTTCTAGCGCGCAGCTTGCCTCCTGGTTCTTATCAAAGAATAAGATATCATGAGATCAGGTAACGTAAGCGAGTGCGACAAGCCCTTACTAATATAGGGCTTGGAACAGTAGTTCAATTCAGCTAATATTATTCTTGGAGTCTCAAGGGTTCATCATTTCTTTCTTCTTTTCAGTCAGGAATTCCTGCCTTCCAATTGTAGTCCTTCCATTCCAAAGGCTGACCTTTTATTGCCTTCCCGAAATGCTCACCTGACCGGAGTGCCAGTCTTCCTCTAATAGCCTTCGTACAAGTACTACAACTCGGTATATCTCAGTTGAGAGTCTAAGGTTGAGGCTTCTAGTAGCCTTGTATGACTTCGCGGCCTCTTCTGAAGTCGTGGGTCCTATATTGTGGCGTATCGCGTGTGACACGAAGGATATTAAGGGAGTAATTAAGACAAGAGGTCCAAGTGAAGGGTGAAGCCAGAGTGGCTTGAGCGGTGGCTTGGCTGTGTGATAAGGTTCTATATGGCCCCATTTGTTTACTTGGCTCCAAAAAAAAAAAAAAAAAAAACATGAGCCATGTGAACTATCATTTCTGCGGTCGCCCTCTCTCCTCTCTCCTCACTGGAATCGGCATGACCCAACTCCATTCCCGCGAAGAACGTCCGGAGCATTATGATGGCAGAGACGAACTTTAGCGCCGAAACCGATTCTTACGATGGCCCGCGAGTGTTCGATATTGCAAACACACACGATGATAACCTCACGCTATTTGAGCGAGAAGATGTGCAGAAATTTTATAAGATGATGGGCGATGCTACCGACCCAGATGCTACCAACCTAACGGAAAAATTCATCGAGTGGCTAGGGTCTATACCCCACACCATGTCCAACACCGCGATACCGTTGTTTCCCGAGAGATCAGGGGGCATCGACTATCAGGTGCACCCTTGCTATTCCCAACTACAAGAACAGCACCTACGCGACGTCGATAAACCACATTTCTACGTCAGCTCGATAACGGTGGACGATAAGAGATTTTTAGTCATTCCGTTTGGCCGGCTATTTGTTAACACGCCGGATGATGAGAATCAAACCGGCCTCTCTAAGTGGACGGGCTACGAAGTCCTACTAGACATTAATAGGAACCTTTGGCTTATCTTCGATCAGAGGTCACTTTCCTACCGCTGGTCTGGTTGGTACCCCGTTAGATGTAACCTTGGGGAGGATTTCACGCAAAAAGGTGAAGGGGCCCAGTTCAACACCGCAGGAAATCGCTTCAACGGACCCCTTCCTGTACCGCTAATAAACGGAATTATCGAAACTCCTACCTTTCAATCGGCCTATATGTCATTAATCGGGAGAAAATTGTCAACCCTAAGTTTTGCTGAACTCCAAGGAAAGATACATGGCACAATGAAGCAACATGGAGAGGTTTTTATGTGTGAGGTTAGCGAGCAAGAAGTCGAGGAGCAACTTTAAAGTTTCTAAGAGCAATTAGGGTAATTAGTTAAATTATTGAAAAATGAAATATAGATTAAACAAATGACAAGGTTTCGATTTAGATTTCAAATATCTACCTAAGTATACATAGTGTTTATTAAGTGTTTTTAACCAAGTGTTAAATGACACCGCTTAAATATTTAACTGACCTGGGTAATCGCTTATACATGGCAACATAGAGTAATAAGTTAAGAGGTATCTAGGGATATCGCAGCGTGCCACTAATCATTTAAACTGTGACCATTCATTAGTGCACTCTACTGTCTCGCCATCCCTTGGCTAAGTTATTCGTTTATAGATAGGTAGCATATTCTTGTTGGTCTTCCGGAAACCACTACCCATAAACATCTGAATGTAGTTGAGTATACCAGTCCAGAGAACAAAGCCGAACATGTTGTTGCGTATCCATATCCCCCAAGCCGTCTGCGGGGCCATAAACGTCGTGACAAATCGTGGCATCTGCCCTAATTCGTTAATGAGGGGTCTCATGCGCTGCTCGTAGCCTTGAAGCCCGGCTGCAATATCATCACCATGCTCGCTGATCTCGCCAGCTAGGACATAGGCACCAGCCATCGCAAGGCTCGTCCCTACACCAGTGAGACCACTGGCATATCCTGCATCACCAACCATCACGAATCGCCCTTTGTATAAATGAGAGGCCTTGACTTGACAGACCTCGCTAGCATAGAGATCCTCGGATTTCATCAACCCTTCCAGGATCCGCGTGTCATTCCAGCCAACATTCTCATATCTTTGAGCCACGAATTGTTTGAGTGTTTGATCTCCCTGCTTCAAGGCATCGCGAAACTGAAGGATGGCGCTACACTCGCTGTTTGGGTAGACCGACATCATGAAGACTCGATTGCCTGCCGCGTCGGGTGCGACACCAATCATGCGACCACCTGGCGCATTGTATGCCAGCCCAATTTTCTTCCCCTGTAGTAAATCTTGCGACATGCAGTAATACGCCCCCCAGCAGTTAGTCGAGACTATGTGATCCCGGACGCCGCATCCGAGGCCAATAGAGCGAGTCCGAGACGTCGTACCATCACATGCCACAACTAAATCGTAATCTGAACGGGGTAATCGGTTGGAGAATTCGACGGTGACGGGCCCGCCATCGGACGGCTGTTGCATCGCTGTGACTTGCTCATCAAAGACGTATTTGACATTTTCATTGTCTTTGGTCAGGTCAACGAGGATTCTTGACAAGTCGCCTCGCAGGATCTCGTACTCTGAGATCAGTGCTTGTTGATCTGGATTTCCCGTAGGTTTTAAAGTTCCGTATGGCCTGCCATCACCGCGTACAAAGCTCATGCCATCCATTTCGTACTTCTTGGCCCGCACAGCAGCTTCCATCCCTGGTATTTTCCGCATAACCTCGACACCAATCGTGCGTATGTCTATGTTCTGTCCACCCTTTCGAAGAGATGGGAACCGTTCGATGACTGTGACCCTTGCTCCTGCTTTGGCTAGCCAATACGCGGTCATCGGTCCCGCGATGGATGCACCCACGACCAAGACATTCATTCCGGCCATGATCTTCAGAAAAGCTATTCGGAGAGAGGGAATTGAATATATGGTTTAGCCCTGACGAGTGTGATGGGGCGGGCTTGTATTGTGCTAATGCTTGGCGACAATAGACCATTATATATAAATTGAGTTTAATGATATATTTTGGAAACCTCAGGTAATTTACTAACCCTTTTCCTCTATCTAGTAACCCGACGATACTACTTTGCTCAGTGGCGCTGAAGCGGTGGTTGAACGGATTGCGCAGTGTGGGTCACGGACTTTCTGCGAACCCGAGAAGTCCATGTTATACGCATGTTCTATTGGATCGAGCAAATAATCCATAACAGACCTGTCAGAACAACATGGACTCTTGACGGCTATATCTTGCCTGCTTAAAACATTCAAGTTTAGTGAAACATTTACTTAATCATTTTTTATACCAAGGTTATCACGATACCTCAGCCCACGCCGCAACAAACATGTTCGAGACAAAGGAGATTCGATCTTGAGATCGTATATTATAAGTGCAATTATATATAATCTAATTCCGGTATTTCCTATATTTCATGCTGCGTCCCCTGAGTCCGCACACATCTGTAAAGCTTATTTATGAATATCTTCTCCTGCCTCATTGATATTGTGCGATGGACGAGGCCTCCGTACAACCACTACTGTAATAGAATGGCTTTCGGGCGATGTAAGTAATAATTGGACAAGTTTTTTCTGTAACAACCATGCAGTCTTCTTAGCATAAGCAATCAATCGCTACTAAAAATGAATGCTTTTTATATATACTACCACCCGTTCGTTATTCAGTTGGTTGACGGCCACTATTATGTGTTGTGATCGAGCTATCGAGCTCGATAAAGTACAAAAAGTGAGATGCATCAGCCGTGAATCGAACACGGGGCCCATCGATGGCAACGATGGATTTTACCACTAAACCACTGATGCTACAAGCATGTTGGAGATGCTCAGGATCATCACTATAACATCTCCAGAAGTCAGACGTGGGCTCTTCCGGGATTCGAACCCGGGGCCTCTCGCAAATTGTGCCCAAAGCGAGAATCATACCTCTAGACCAAAGAGCCGCTTCTTTTTATAAAACTTCCAATACTGTCCATAGAAGAAAACGTTGGTTCTGGGTAGAGTGAAAGCCCAAATAGTTTTAGCTTGCTTCTGTGGAGTGGCCCCGTCTTCATGCATGAAACCGTGAATAGACGACTGGGTGAAACACTATGATTGTGTTACTAGAACTAGGCCAATAGGCATTCCACAATAGGAGGTTGGAAGTGCTCATCTTTCGCGGCCGCGACAGGCGCGATGGTCGAGAAATACTCAAACACCAAGCTACATTTAGTATAAAACTTATATGGGAAGGTTTTGAAGCTGTATTATTGTAGTAGTGCGGTCGTCCGGGTGCCTAGGCTCTAAGAGGCTTAGGTTGATTCTAGGGAGTCGGTCGGAATTTTGTAGTTTTCCTTATATATCCAGCTATAGCCTAGCTGTAGTTTTTCTCCTTTTTCTTAGGAAGATAGCCAGCCATTTAGGCCTCCTCCTCTCCATATACGTTGGTTTACCCCAAGTCGAATCTCTAGAAGTGATTAGACGGCAGTGGCCGGTCCTCTAGAGTGCGATTCGTGTTCAGTAGCACGATCCGTTGCATTATCCACCACGCCACGTACGTAAGAGGACGAAACACAAGAGATATGCCAACGCTTTCGATAATACAGTCTAGAGTACCGAAATGGTGCGGCATATGAGCCTTGCGCTGCTCTATTCTTTGCAAGGCTAGTGCTGTTATTAGCAAGAGCCGAAAATTCTTACGTTGACCCCTATACAAGGACCTTTTGCAGTTGGTGTAGGCTGGCTACTATTTATTCATTTCTCTCCCATAGTTAATAACACTACGCGCCGTCTGGGCCCGCTGCCGTAGTGACCTGCCGGATCTAAAAAGCCCCATGATGTCAATGTTTGAGGCTGTCCTACACCTTCACCAACTAGCTTCGAGTTGGTGAGTGATTTAGAGTGAGACAATCAGACTTGAAGATGGCCTATAACGCATCATATTTCCGTTAAATATTCATATGAGCACCATCAGTAAGTACTTTGTTGCGTATTGACGTCATCAATATTCACAGATCGGCTTATGAGCCAGCATAAAAGTGTCGGATGTTGCTGTATGATATTGCCGGGCTCTCTACGCGGGGTCAAATGCTGCGAGGCGTATTACTATACCAGCATAGAATCTAGCTTTTTCCATCGCATTTTAATTCACCTACTTACGTATTTTTTCGGCGTTTTTAATATGATGGCGCCTAATCGTATTCTGGCACCCGATGTTGACCCTTCTCCTTTAGGCCAACCCCTGCATTTCTCTTTCAGCGGCAGGACGGCTTCCAATCGCTTTCTAAAGGCAGCCATGACAGAGAAATTAGCGTCGTGGGACCCGGAAGAATTGGAAAAGCGTGGGGTCCCCTCAAAGGAGCTCATTAACGTGTATCGCCGGTGGGGGCAGGGCGGGTTCGGTTTGATCCTAACCGGGAATATCATGGTATATTACGACCACCTAGAGGCAGCAGGCAATACCGTCATTCCGAAGGATGCCTCTTTCTCGGATGAGCGTTTTGAAAGATTCAGGGACCTTAGCATAGAAGCCAAGGCTCACGGCAGCCTTATTGTCGCACAGTTATCTCATCCCGGCCGCCAGGTGTCTAAGGATATTCAAGCATATCCTGTCTCGGCTAGCGATGTCCATCTCGAGGGAATGAAACTTAGCATGACTTTCGCTAAACCGCGAGCTATGAGTAAGGACGACATCAATGATCTTGTGCACTCGTTTGCTTTTGCTGCTGAGTATGTACACAAGGCGGGATATGACGGGGTCCAACTTCACGGTGCTCAGTGAGTTTCTACAATCAGCTTCAGGAACGTTTGAAAAATTCCGGACTGACTCGGCGTAGTGGATATCTGCTTGCACAATTCTTATCAAAGACAACGAACAAGAGACTTGATGAGTACGGTGGGCCTTTACTAAACCGAGCTCGTCTGCTTTTCGAGACCATAGACGAGATTCGCAGGCGCGTGAAGGACGATTCCTTCATCATTGGTATTAAACTCAACAGCGCAGAGTTCCAAGATGGAGGTTTCACGACACAAGAATGTCGGGATCTCTGCATCGAACTTGAGAAGCACAAGGTGGACTTCATCGAGTTATCGGGAGGTACGTTTCAAGAACTGAGCTTCTTCCATAGGCGGGAAAGCACCAGAAAACGCGAGGCCTTCTTCATCGAATTCGCAGAGATGATCGTCCCGCAGCTTAAAAACGCGAAGGTCTACGTCACTGGTGGCTTCCGTACGGCCGCCGCAATGGTTGCAGCATTGAAGACAGTACACGGTATTGGCCTAGCTCGACCGGTCACACACGAACTCGACCTTGCGAAAAAGCTGCTTGAGGGCAAGGTCAAAAGTGCCATAAACTACGGAATCGATGAGGAGGAATTCGAACTTAGTATGATCATGGCAGGCACCCAGTAAGCCTTCTTGATTTCCTATTGTAGCCTCTCTAGCATTATTAGCAACCTCTCCTTACCTGTCGTTTATGGACTAGGGCTAATCCCGATGGCCTCTACTAGGCTACGCTTCGTGGGTAAAGATAAGGAGCCTCTTGACCTAGGTAGGCCAGAGCATAGAGAAGCCTTTGACAAGGCCCTAGAGCGATTCCAGAAGGAAATGGCGAACAATAGGGACGGATCAAAATACGGGTATCCGGACGTTGATAGCATCAAACTTAAGCCCTACGGTACACCATATGAGACGGCATCAGACTAGGTCAACTATAAATATCAGCACAGGCTTAGGCTCTCTAGAACTAAGATCGGATATAGCGAAGTTTCAGATGGTTTAGCCCTAAAATGAGGCTTGGTTACCTACTAATGGATTCCTGTTGAGTTTGTTGTAGATCACGACATCAGAGTGATTAGAACTAGATGATACCCCCAAATTCTAGGTTCTTATATAATACCTTATTTGTGTCTTCTCAACACCTCTACCTATTGAGGTTGGTTCGACGTAGTATAAGAAACAGCTATAAAGCAACGATTTCAGTCATAGCACAGCGATTTGATTACACGATCGGGAGGCACGAAAGTACTAGCTCCGGCGGGTTAGTCAACGGTGTTAATGGCGGCGAGTATCTACGGAATTGGGGCGGCGGTTCCGGAGGGAGTGTTGCAAAATGGTGTCGGATGTTGAGCGTTATCCCGATAGAAGCGTGGTAGTCAAGGTTAAGTGCACTAACCAACAATCAATGCCTAGATAATCGACTAAATGTCAAGTTTACCACGTGTTTATGCATAGATGAGATAAACGTGGCATCTGTCAACCCAATCATGGATTACAAGGTTCGATCAGTTACTCAGGCACCGAAGTTATATGATAAGTGACTGGTGTGCCTTTCACTATTATACAACATGTATACTGTATGCTGGTGGGCTACACATTTAGCGGACCGACATTAAGCCGACAAGACCCATACCTTAAGTAAGTACCTAACTTAGGTAGGCTAGGCGGGCGTTGTAGCGCGCCCCTCCAGCAAAACTTGATCCCCCGGCGGACCCTCTTCCTCTTCCGACCAAGGCTTAAATACCTACGCAGTCCCTCCCTCAAACCAGAATTTCTAGAGCTTTCGGCGGCATCACGTTCGCAAACGTCAAAAGGGTCAGTTGGCTTGTGAGCCCCCCATGTCGACAATTCTCCCACCACCACCATCCTCACCTTATCCCTTTGCCTACCGCGCTCACCGGATGATAACCGAGTAGCTACCTCGTCTCACCTCGTCCCGTCCATCTGTCATTCATTGCATTGGTACGTATGTCTAGTTGTTTTTCTTGTGCATTGTTTCGCCTTGCCTTCCCTTGCTTTGCCTTTTCTTGTTGTTGTTGTCCTCAAGTAGCTGGTAGCTGGTAGCCTCGCATTCTCGACTCGGAGATTCGGGCTAGTCTGCCTCATGCTCTCTCCCATCCTCCCCGTCGAGTTATCTGCTACCTGCTACCTACTACGAGCTCCCCGCCTTTTCTCAATCGCAGCGTTTCTCCTGATGATCACACCAGCTGGCACCAGTCATAGAGCGACTTGTACTCCCTTTCATTGATGACCAATATGCTGAGGTCCTCAGAGGCCGTTATCTGATTATAAACGCTTATCCTAATCCACACCATCTTACCTAATTCGCAATTCGCACGGCTCGATCCATATTGACACTTGCTGACACAGGCACTCGCTTTCTAGCATCTTGTCCAGATACTTCTTGCCGAATATCGCTACTGCGCTCGCGTTACAATGGCCCTCCACAACCCCAACAACTGGCATTGGGTCAGCAAGAATACCTCGCAGTGGGCGCAGGACTGGTTTCAGGAAAACTTGACCCAGCTCTCAGCCCAAGATGGAGAGGTCACAGCCAAGATTAGCAAGGTGCTCAGCATGGACGGAGACGTGGATGTTAGTCAACGAAAGGGAAAGGTTATTACTATCTTCGACGTGAAGCTCGTGCTCGAGTACTCTGGTACGTTCTAAAGCAATACCACCTGTGGCCGTAAGAAGGAGCCCAATCTCTGATAATTTGTAGGGTCTGCACCCGAGGCAGATGATGTGTCGGGAACCATCACCGTGCCCGAAGTTGCCCACGATACAGAGGAAGATGAATTTGTCGTATGTAGTCCCTACGAGCTCTAAAATGAACAATCAAACACCGTACTAACATGGCTTAGTTTGACATTGACATTCATTCCGAATCGAAGGAGAAGCAGCCCGTCAAAGATCTAATTCGCTCGAAACTCGTGCCGCAGCTGCGAAAGGAGTTCTTGAAAATCGGACCTGCCATGATTGCTGAGCATGGCAAAGACATTCAGCATTCCGCCGGTTCCAATCCATCCAGCGGGTTTTCTACTCCCAAGTTCCATGCTCCTACTGGCGGTGCGTCAAAGTCCGAGACTACATCCAATACCCAGAAGAATGCCGGTAGCATCGTCAACACTACGACACTGTCAGAGCAGGAGGAATTCAGAACAACTGCCGCACAGTTGTACCAGAC